TAGAGTGGAATCAACTGTTGTTAACAGTCTGATCAACTTTTTCAATTTCTATTCTCTTGAGCAATACAATTACGTTTCTAAATCCAGCATGATACTATTAGACATTGTTTTGAGCAACCTTGCCTGCAATGTAGATAGATGTGAAACCCCTATTGATGAAGGACATGCAGCATGCATCTGTGGTTGTCTCTATTAATGAGTTACTTCCCAAACCAGCAAGACGATATGATAAAATGACGTCTAATTCTTTTAATTCTAGAAAAGCCAATATTTCTTTATTGTATGATCAACTGTCCTGCATTAACTGGAGCTTTCTTGATAACCTAAATGATGTTAAAGAAGATTGTAAGCAATTTTGTGATACATTAAATGTAATTTTTATACTGTCCCCAAGTACTTTACCACCAAATTGACATTGTCTATGACTAGACAATTTCCTCCTTGGTTTAATGGAGGTATTTAAATGATATTGGAGCTAAGGAGATACTATTTAGGAAGTTGCAAGATTATAAAGCTTTAAGACTAAAGATTGAAAGAGACAGTGATACTGCTTATAAAATCTACATAGAACCGGAAGATGATATAAAGTGAGATCCGTAAAAGTTTTGGTCTTTTGTCAACAGCAGGAGAGGTCAAGGCTCTATACCCAAAAATACGAGGGATGTATTTTAAGTTTTGCATATAGAAATATAGTAGGCCGCGCGGATCGAGCGTCAGTACTGAATCTTAACCTCACTCTTTAGTAAACTTAAATTCAAAGTTTCGCAACAATACGTGCAGTGTTCTCACTACAGTGAATTTTTAAGTGTCACTAAGTCATTGCCTTGCTGAGTTACTGTCTGTTTTCGGCAACGAAGCGCCACATTAGTCGACAATTTCCCGTTGGCATGGAGAATTCAAACGTGGACGGGTGAGTCTTAGGCCCGTATCGTCAGTCGTCCCTACAATTGTAGGGCGAGTTTATGGCCTCCTTGATTGTCATACTCTTTTCTCTCCTTCAAAAATTTCTAGATTACACTTGTCCCGTGTCAGCGTCAGCGCTCTCCTATTGTGAATATCTGTTTTCTTTTTAAATTGTAGGAAATTCCAGGCTGATAAAACATGATACAACTCAAAAGCAAGCATAATTTGATGCAAATAGATGTTTGTGACATAACCTCAAAATAGAGCGCTGACACGGAGAAGTAGAAAACTATGACAATCAAGGAGGCCATAAAGGCGCCCTACAATTGTAGGGACGACTGACGATACGGGCCTTAGCGACGATTCCAGGGTGGATGCACCAAAAACGGTAGTCACCTAGGAAAACGTCGATGCTGTGCGCAAACTCATCATTGAAACTGAGGCGTCCTTGAAGATCTCAAAGACCTCAATTCAAAAAATTTTACATGAAGAATTAGGAGTAAGAAAATTAGTTTCTCGTGACCTGTTGACTGAAGAGCAGAAAGCAGCCAGGGTTAATTGGTGTCAAAATACGCTGGGCCGTTTCAATTCCGGAAACTCAAAAAATGTGTACAGCATTGTTAGTGGTGATGAATCGTGGATTTACTGTTATGAACCAGAAAATAAACGACAGTCGGCTGTTTGGGTGTTCCAAGGTGAAGAAAAGCCAACAAAAGTCATCCGTTCTCGAAGTGGTTCGAAAAAGATGGCGCGACATTTGTGTCAAAAGCGGATCATATTGTAACAATTTCTCTTAATGAGCAAATAGAAAACAAGTGCGATATTGGAAATTACACGAAGATCACGATTATCAACAAATTTTCAAAAGTGTTTGAGTTTCTCAATTATGGAATACCATGGAAAAGCAATTAACAGTTACAAACTTGTTCTGCACTGCACAGTATATATCTGAAAATATAGACTTTAAAATTTATACTGACTTCTCGAAAACCTTGGACCGGGTAGATCATGGCATTCTCCTTGTCAAATTAGCTAGCTTTGGCGTGATTGGTTACCTCCTCGCGCTTATAAAACCTATCTATCCGAGAGTCACATAGGTAATGCACAACGGCTTCAGATCTAATAGTTATAGGGTTACGTCTGGTGTCCCTCATGATCTATCCCGAGCCATTATTTTTCATTATGTTTATAAACGATATAGACATTCAATTAGATGTCCAGTTTCTCCTGCAGCTTACGATCTCAAGCTTCTTTGCCCGATTCGGCCTCTTGATAATTGTGGAAAGCTACAATATAACATCAACATGATTGACAGCTGGTGTCGCGAAAATAGCTTGCCTTTAAATGCTGCGAAATGTAATGTGGCCGGTTATACAGGGTGTTCCTTAATGATATGCGAATATTTAAGGGTGTCAATTTACATGGAAAATTAATGTTAGTTTGCTTTATAAACTATGGCCCAAAAATGTTCCTTTACAAAATCACGGGGTGTTGAACTTTTTGGGAAAAAATGGAAATTAATTAATATTTTCAGAACCGCTTCAGATATTTCACTGATATTTAGTGCGTAGTGAAAGTTAATAAAGTTGCATATTTTTCAATGCAAAAATAATTTTTAGCTTCAACAGTGGCGCGCGTACGGGTATTGACTTCGATATTTTTTAAGAAAAAAATGGTACGCCAATGGTTATTTGCCAAATAAAAATTATTTTTTAATTACCCGTTCAATTTAAAACAAATGATCTCTCTTGAATTGTTTTCCTTTGAAGCGCCATTTTTTTAGTAAAAAAATTAAAACCGTTCTATTGTCCGAGAAATATCTAGTTTCTCTGGAATATGTCACTGGCTTTTGACATCTGACAAGTCTCTGTTATTCAAATCTGTTCGCTGTGACATCTTTTTCATTATATAGTTTTTACAATCTTGTTAATGATGGTGAATTATTCAAATGTAGAAATGGCGGAAATGCATTACGTATGTGGCCTTGCCGACGGTAATGGTGAGCAAGCCAGACGGATTTATCACCAGAGATATCCCGATCTTGCTTTGCCAGATAGTCGAACCTTTTCTAATATTCAGCGTCGTCTTGTTGAAACTGGTTCTGTCCGAAAAGGAACATCTGAAGGTAGACCTCTACGTGTGAGAACACCTGAAATTGAGGAAGCGGAAGAACATCCTGAAACGAGTACGAGGAAGATCGCTAGACACTTAAATATTTGCCATCAAATTGTTTGGAGAATTTTAGTGGATTTTTTGTTATATCCTTACCATAGTTTAAGAGTACATGCATTACTTGCCATTGATTTTCCAAGGCGTGTGACCTTTTGTCAGTGGTATCTTCAAAAAATTACACAAAATCCGCAATTTGAATGCCATTCAGGATTTCCACAATAATCATTTGTGGACAGAAGAAAATCCCTATGCCGTAACCGAAACCCAATTTCCAACACCAATTTTTTGTTAACGTATGTGCAGGAATTATTGGCAACCATTTTATTGGCCCATTCTTCTTGCCGGGACGACTAGATTTCTTTTTGTGGGGCTATCTTAAGACACTAGTGTACACAAATCTCATTAACATGTAGAGGAATTAAGAGAAAGAATAGTTGCAGCTTGTGATAGAATAAAAAACACTCCAGGGATATTTCAACGAGTGCGCAATTCCATGAGAAGGAGGGCGGAAACATGCATACTAAGTGGGGCCATTTTCATCACAATTTTTGAAATGATTTCGTTGGTTTTAATGTTATGTTTATATTGTCAGTTGTTGTTATTCATTACCCCTAATGTGTTTAATTTTTCCAATTAAATTAATAATAATTTTGCAAGTCAGACAATAGAACAGTTATTATTTTTTTACTCAAAAATGGCGCATCGAAGGTAAACAATTCAAGAGAGATTATTTGTTTTAAAATAGACAGGGAATTTAAAAATAATTTTTATTTGGCAAAAAACCATTGGCGTACCATTTTTTTCTTAAAACATATCGAAGTCAATACCCGTACGCACGCCACTGTTGAAGCTAAAAATTATTTTTGCATTTAAAAATATGCAACTTTATTAACTTTCACTACGTACTAAATATCAGTGAAATATCTAAAGCGGTTCTGAAAATATTAATTAATTCCCATTTTTTCCTAAAACTTCAACAGCCCGAGTTTTTGTAAGGAATAATTTTTGGACCATAGTTTATAAAGCAAACTAACATTAATTTGAATACACACCCTTGTATATTCGCATATCATTAAGGAACAGCCTGTATAAACAAAACTCAGACAATCATGTTTGGTTATAATATTGATCGTGCGCCTCTAAAACGCTTAAGCGAAGTCAAGGATTTAGGTGCCATTTTTAATAGTAATTATTGCGTCAATAAAATCATATGGAGACAATTAATGCTAAGAGTTACAAAAGATTGGGCTTTAAAGTACGCTGTGGTCGCGAGTTACAAGACATTAATGCAATTAAGCTTTTATATTGCTCAATTGTTGAATATATATCAATTGTTTGGTAGGTTTTTTATAACTTTGGGATAGATAAAATTGGAAATATCCAGCAACGACTACTGAAGTACCTACATTTCAAGGAAAATGGCAGTTGTCCGTCAGTTGGCTACCCTCAACAAATTTTAGGAAAGGCCTTTGATCTAGAAAGTCTTAGAGAAAACGAAATTTAATTTTCTTGTTTCACGTTTAAATTCTAGACAATTTGATAATTTTTATTTTCTTACCCCTAGAACAAACATCTTAAAGTTTTCTCCACTATTTTACTCTTGTGGCAGGGCTAATGACGTGGCAGAAAAATTGCATATATTTCTGTGAGGTCTTGTCTGTTTTTTGCTTTCTTATCTGCACTATGATATTTTTAAATAGCATCTTTGTATTTGAACTACCTACTCTTGCTTGTATTATGAAATAATGATGTTTTTTTGTTGTTGTCCGGACTGTATCCTACTCTGTAAATGGCCGTTGCTGTTGAGTAGTGTACAAATAAATAAATATAAAATTAAAAAATGCATGACATAATACATCTTTATTATATAAGCATACATTGAGTAATTTTTTTTGTTCTGCAATTAGTACAATGGAGTGCGTTTCAAACTATTTTAAGCGGCATCGGCATAAGAAATTGATAAACACCAGTTCAGTCAAAAAACTACTGAGCAGGCTGAAGAACTCTCCCTTGAAAGAGAATATTCCTCTCTCCAGCACCTCGACTTTCCAACAACAGTATGAAGGGATGATCCACGTTGACAATCTTAGGAGGCGCAATGATCGCACTCATTGGCACCATCTCAAGGTCCCCTTGAAAAAAATTTTATTTTGTTAAAGCATTGCTTACATACGATGAGTACCCATGTGAAGTCCCATGTCCCCCTGGGAGTCTTGTTGGACTTCAAAATTTGCAGAGTTGGCATGATTATGTGTACTCTTTTGCCGATGTTCGCCCCCCTGAGAAATATTTCTGCGAGCGTCCATGACGAAAAGCAGCATGTTTAGTTAATTCCCATCATAATGAATACACTCCACCATATACAAGAACCAATCTAGACCAGGCGCTGGATGGAATTGACTGTGCAAAATGAGAGGACCGTTCTTTATGAACAGATATCAACTAAGAAGAGATCAAAGAATCATGATCCGGATCAGAATTACTTTATTTACTTCTACGCACTCTAGGCATTTTGAGCAATCACAAACAGGCTAAATGTACGAAAACTGAATGCTTCTTTATCACCAAACAAATACGCAGCCACCACAAAAACTTAACAGAAAAACCTGACCATTTTATCACTTGTTGTTCATGGCTAGATAAATCGTTATGTAAAAAAATCCTAAAATTCTAATAAACATACATAGGTGTTTACCTTTTTTTTGTCACTCAGTATATAAATAAATAAGTAAATGGGGAGATGCTCATTTTCGTGTTAGTGTGGAAAGAGTATTATTTTTATAAGACAAAGAATGTTTCTATATTTTTGTTTCAGCTCGTGTTGTTCTTGTACCAAAGTTTGACTTATTATTATTAATTAGCCATGAGGAGATGCTCATTTTTCGTTTTTAGTGTGGAAAGTATTATTTTTAAAGAAAAAGAATAGTTCTTTATATTTGTTTGGTGGGGGATGGGTTTCTAATAGCCGTACTTGGAAACGATGCTACTTATCTCTTTTTTTCACTATATTTTATATGTAATACTGATATAATGGCCAAAATGTAGTACATATTAGTATATATTCCGCGGTTTGATCGATTTTTGGAATGTGACTAAGCAGTCAGGAGTCAGGACCAGATCTATATAAGATCTAAGATATACATATACATACATAGATTTATAATAAAAAATATTTACTTACCTGTCGATATAGTTCAATGTTGATAGGCGATGAAATAACGTGAGATGATTTGCATAATCTTTGTTCACCAGATATGTTGATGAGAGAAAGCAGATTTATTTTTTATGGATAGAAGATCGACCAAAACTGAAATTCTCAAAATCAACTGCCACAGACCAACGATTTTATTTTCGACAAATGGAATGAGGGTACAGGGTGTAAAGTTAGTAGTGGATCAACGGAAGTCAGGTGATAGAGGGCCTCAAAACATATCGAATTAACCCCTATTTATGTGTGGTCCAAAATTATATATTTCAGGAGATATTCGCTTTTTTTTGAAATTTCCAAAAAAAAAAACGGGATAATGAACTTTCAATCGCAATTACAACTAAACCATTAGGTTTAGGGCTGTGATTTTTTTGAGATGAGCTAAATGGTTAGTTTTAGCAATGGTTATGTCACTTTTAACAGAGCTAATTAGAAATCTTGAATTCATTCTTTTATGAAAAATCTCTTCCATCCCTCAACTTTGGAAGGCGGTAAAAAAATTGAGGTTGTATTTCATTGTTCATTTTATTGTAAAAACTATTTCAACCCATGTAGAATAAACCCTTAAAATTTCAGTTTGACCACGAAAAAGGACGAAAATATGTTTTTTCGGTGAGTTTTTATTTTATAATTTTGTAATTCTAATATTAGTGTAATTATGCAAGTTGTCTCAGAACATGAGATCGCGAAGTAATATATCTTATCGTTCTACTTGAACATTGAATTATCCTTCCACTCCTTATGTGTGGCAAAAGATGGTATCACCACACGTCCCTAAAATAACGTACAAATATACTAAGTGACATATAAATCCGAACACCCAGTTTAAATGGTTTTATTGTAATAAAAGTTGGTGAATATATGTATCTTACTGTAAATAACAAGTGAAACAATTTTCAGCCTTATCAGTTGAACATTCCGGTTTTATACTGCTTTTTTTAATTCACTAACGCTCTAAAAATGAATATTTCAGCCGCAGTAAAGAATCAACGTTGGCGGATTTTGGTTCTTGACATCCTTTACGATCGGTTACGATGCCTAGAGTACGGAGACCTGTACGATTTCGTCAACTTAGTGAGTTTGATAGGGGCCGTATAGTGGGACTTCGGGAAGCTGGACTTTCTTTTCGGGCAATTGCAGTTAGAGTGCAAAGAAGTGTAGACACTGTGGTTAGGTGTTGTCAGGCATGGCTTCGAGAAGGCCGTACGCAAAGAGCAAGGGGCACTGGACGCCGCCGTAGAACAACAGACCGTGAAGATCGCCGCCTAAGATTATTGGCCTTAAGGGACCGTTCTCCACTACCAGGTCCATTGCAAATGAATGGTTTGCAGAACACGGAAGACCTATTGGCATGCGAAGTGTTTACCGACGAATGAGAAGTTTTGGCTTGTTTTCATACCGGCCACACTGGTCCTCCGTTAACTCGAGAACACCGACGTAATCGCCTTGAGTGGTGCAGACAACGGTCACTCTGGGATCAGGAATGGAACAGTATTGTCTTTAGTGACGAGTCTCGATTTTTGTTTAGGCATGCCAGGGTTAGAAGGCGACGTGGTGAAAGGAGGATTGCACAGTTTTTGTTGAAAGACATGTTCATCACACTGTTGGAGTTATGGTTTGGGGTGCTATAGCTTATGGTTCCAGGTCACCTTTAATCTCATCAGAGGTAACATGAACGCGCAGCGTTATATCCACGAAGTTCTAGACCCCATCTTTTACCCTATCTTGACACCCTGGCAGATCCAACTTTCCAACAAGATAATGCCCGACCACATGTTGCAAGAGTCACAATAGACTTCTTTCAACATAATGATGTCACATTGTTACCATGGCCACCAAGATCTCCCGACTTATCCCCAATTGAGCACGTGTGGGATATGATGGGTAGGAGATTGCTCAATTTGCAACGTTCTCCTCAGACTCTAGAAGCACTTCGAGAGGAGTTGGTGGTTGCCCTGGAATGAGATACCACAGGAGGACGCAAAAAGTATCATAGCGGGATGATCCACCCTGAAATGGTTGATGAATGCGTAGCACATCAGGGTATATCCACACATTAAAAGGCAAAGGGCTTTAAAGCAGTGCAATCATTTTGAAATTTTTATCATTTACCTTATGCTTCATTAAGTACTATACAAAATTTTAAAAATAAAACAATTAAACTGGGTGTTCGGATTTAATGTCACGTATAGTTAAAGAGCTTTTGGGCAAGCTCTGGAAATTGGCAATCTTTTCTTCCCCCAGCGCCCTAATCCTCCAAATCAACAACCACTTCGAAACCCAGAAGTAACATTCATCGTGCAGGGAAGTGCATCTACAACCAACCCCCCTGGCACGGGGTAACATGACATATAACAGCTGACTCATGACGTCTTATAACCAAACTGGTAAACAACACTCGCTTGAACGGATTCAAAATGGTAAATACCATTTCATATGGTTATTCGCTTGAATATGGTGTCAGTCCGAATTCGTTGGTTGAATCGCTACTAGGTATCTTGCTGGAAAGGATGATTCTAGTACGATATAGTGGACTTTAATACAAAATATGTATTATAAACACGCGCAGAGTAATCAGTCAACCTGCATTCAATCATGCATTTGTCGATGCACAATCACAGTTCACCTAGTTTGAAAGCGCAACATAAAGCTTGAACCGTTGCCTCGTACCTCCGCCTTATTCGAATCGAGTGGTAGCCAATCAGCCCGCCCGAGTTGCTCCAAAGCGGATCACGGTTGTGCGACCACCAAAAGTGGAGCGCCTCCGCCACCGTCGTTCTGACAACCGAGAAGTTTTTCCATGTCAATGGAGGAATTGTTATGTAAACACAATCTTTCTTGTCGGTCCGATATGCCGAACAAACTTTCCAATTCGGTTAAGTAACTCGAAGAAGTTATTCGTGAAGTGGAGGAGGTAATTTGGAGCAAGTGGGCAAGAAGGAGCGTTCTCTCTATATTCCGCGGGGGATGAATATGCTCTGCGTTGCGCTGGAAGTATGCAGACGAGTTTGTCGACCCGATCTAGGGCATGCGTTTTTCTCTCTAATTTGTTAAATGAAATTTAATTTGTATCTCGTCCCGCGCGAATTGGCGAGGAAGGAGTTTTGCAATGCACTTTTGACTTGATACTGAAATAAGAATTCTACTTCCAAAACAGTACGTCGAGGTAATTAGGTAAAAAAAACAAGTTGACGAATTTTTTTTTCTAATGTCACTGAGTATAATGTATCTTCCATAGTATCTTCAGACTTGAGCTGGAAGATGAGTATTCGGATATAAATGCAGAAGTACCTCAGAAGATTATTGTGGGTCCAGTACCGTACCATCTGTATAAATCAGATATTCCTGCTATGGCGATGTAACAGTTGCAGCACTTGTAGATTGTCAGCATTGATCGCGACTGACAAAGATCTATTGATTGGTTAAGGCTTTCGCGGCCAGTTGATAAATTGCTGTCTTGATTCGGGTCTGAAGGCAGTCGTCGGTTGGAATTTCTTCCTAACGTTTCGCTAGCACGAGTGGCAAGCTTCTTCAGAGGTCCTTCCATTTCCGATGCTGGATGTAGACTTAACATGCACTAAGCAATGGGGACCACAGGATACACTTTGGGAGCTGCAGGTTGCTGTCAGCGTCCAGAACTTCAACAGGAAGGAAGATATCCTCAGACTCAACCCGATCTGACTTCGTGTGTCGATTGTTTTCCCTATCTATCTTCGTTTCCTCAGGTTACATCCGTATCCGGATGTATGGGCATGTGTTTCTACCTTTGTAGTTGCATATCTGCATTCATTTCGTGCCTGATGAAGCCAACCGGCAGAAGTACGTATCGCTCGTGTTACCTATCCTATTTTCTGCTCGAATCCACTTCACTTCTTTTTGGGGATTTTGCTCATTATTCTCCCTCTCTTTGTTATATACCTTTCTCCGCATGATCATTTTCTATATACAGGGTGTTCCAGTTTATTGTTGCATAACTTTAAGATTTGATAGAACTTATATAAACATGGGTCGAAAAATGCGTGGCTTCCGAAATACAGGGTGTTAAGTTTACTTTCTAAAATAGTTTTTTTTAAAAATTGAGAACAATATTTGAAAATTGGTATACAAGGTTTTTTTGGTACGACAAAACGAACCATGGGCATAGTTTTACTGTAGCCGCTAGAGGGCGCTCTCTACTGTACCTGTAGTGTATTGAAATGACCGAAATTTTTTTCTTAGTGCAATTTTTTGCGGGAGTCTGGTACACTTTTTCTTTTAGAAATCCCCACACAAAGAAATCTAATGATTTAGGTCAGGGGATCGTGGAGGCCAGGCGACTGGTCCTCCACGGCCGATCCATCTTTCTGGATAATTTTCGTCCAGCCAGTTTCTAACTATTCTCGAATAATGAGCTGGACAACCATCAAGCTGGAACCAGGCCAATCTTCTTAAATCTAACATAACATCATCCCACATATTTGCATGTTCAGCCTTTAAAAATTCCAAGAAGGTCGCAGCATTTAACCTTGCAGGCAAAAGGTAGGGTCCAAATAGTCGATTACGGTAGATACCAATCCACACGTTCACACTAAATTCATGCTGAAAATTTCTTTCCCGAACTGCATGCGGATTTTCATGCGACCAAATATGTTGATTATGAAAATTTACCACTCCACGTCTAGTGAAGCATGACTCATCGGTCCATAAAACGTTACTTAAAAACTCCCTATTATTATCAGTTCTATCAAGAATCCACTGACAAAATGTGATTCTTCGTTCTCCGTCCCCTGGCTGTAGTCCTTGCACAGGTTGCAAATGGTAAGGACGTCTATGGTCATTTCTAAAACACGGTGAACATGGCTTGCTGAAATTCCCAAGGCACCAGAAACTCTCCTAACACTTGTGGTCGGATCTCTATCAAACCACGCAAATCATACGGGTAAATCTGCGCTGACGAACATTTATGTTTTGATCCCTTTGGAGATTTCCAAAACCATTTTCAATTATTTGGCGATGCACTCTTACAAATACTGAGCGAGTTGGATGTCGTCTGTTTGGAAATC